TTGATGTAGTCTACAGCAGTAGTCGCACCCAATATCTATAATGTTGTAAATTAAAAAATTATTATTATTTAGTATTAAGTTTATTTTTTATTATTGTTTTATTAATTTAATAAATATTTAACATTTAAAAACATCTGCTAAATATCAAAATAAAAATTATTATATTGTATTTTTTTTATATGCCCTGACTTTTTTAGTTAAAAAAATTAAATTAAAATAATAATATTAATAACCAGTTGTGTGTGTGTGTCTGTGTCTTGTATTTTCAAACAATATATTATATATGTATTTTATGTACAGTATATTTAATAAAATAATATCAAATTCAAGTTTAAAAAAATCAATTTCAAAAACTATAATTAAAAAAATTAAAACTAAAAACAAGTTTTTTTTAAAAATATTAATTGGTTATTTTAAAAATAATATTGTTAAATTTAGTTTAAATTTAATTTTGTCGTTGGGCAATTTAATATACACAAAAAATTATATATAAATTTACTAACTCACACACACACACACACACACACACACTATCTATCTATCTATTAATAGTATCGTTAATAATAATATTATTATGCATATATAATGTACAATGAATTTCATTATTTAAGTGAAATATTTTCTGTGACATCATTTAAATATTTCATTAAAAGTATTTATATTAATATATACTATATATATATATATATATATTAAGGACAGTCCTATTAAATGTCATTTTATAAAAACATAGCAACAAATTTAATGTAATATATTGTTGATGATAGCAATGTCAAGTTTATATATAAAAGCTATTTATCCTTATATATATAGTATATATAGAATATAAAATGCTATTATTAAATTAAATTTTATAACAAAAAAAATACCATGGTAAATTTAATATGCAATTGGCACACACATACACTGACAACTTATGTAATAAATACCTACTATATATACTGTATATATAAATTCATTAATGTCACAATTTGAAAGCTATTTTGAATTTAATTTGAAAAATATTTTAAATACTTAACAAATAAAAAAAATATATGTATATCTAGATCTTCAAATATACTATATATATAAGAAAAGATAACCAAAATAAAAGTTGGCAAATATTTTTTTATGTTTTATTTTTGCGAAAATATGCTGTAAACAGCTGTATGAAAATAATAATAAAAAAATTTATATATATATTTTGTTATAGTAATTTAGTTATAACAATTAGAAATATAAAAAACATTTTTCTAATGTTAATATAGATTTTATAAAAATGCTATATTAAAATAAAATAATACATTATTTTTTATATTAATTATCGGTTTATATTATGCAAAATATTTGTATTATTATATAATTGCAAAATTCTATTATTATTACAATTTTATTTTGTAAATTTAAAAACTATTTAAATTATGAATTTGATTTGAATTATTATTTATAAAAAAAATCATAGTCTAATATATAAAATTTTATTTTATTTTTTAAAATAAAAGTTATTTATTTAAAGATATTGATAAACATAGCTATAAATTATAATATATCAAAATTTTTGTTGTACTTATCAATTGCTTTATAACTTACCTTATTATATATATACAGTATTTATATATAATATAAAGTATATGTCACAACAAATATGATTTATTATTATTATTATTAGCACTAAATAGTGTAATCAGTTTAATTTAAATAGATATGTACTATAATATTCACAATAATAAATACACACAATTTTTATTTAATAAAATAAATTAAACTGTTTATAATATTAAACAAATACACACATAATATAATTGATAAACATAATGCTGGATTTTTCTTTATTATTTTAGACTTATTAGATATTTAGTTAACAACAAATAATTTAATTTAAAATAAAATGCAAACATTTGCTGATAATATTTTTTTCTGTATGTATACTAATATATATATTTATTAATAATGACTTATGTCTAAAAAAGGTGTGAATAACTTTTAATTTTACTATTATATCATATAAAACAGTATATACTATATAAATATAAAGTATTCATAAATTTTGTTTGATATAACATTTGTTTTCATAATAAATGTGTTTATGTTTTGTATGACTAAAAAACTGCAAACACCGGTTATATGATATAAATAAAATGCATTTTTAATAGTAATTATAGTTGAATTATATATAATTTGTTATACAATTTTATTATATACAATGTATAATTACATAAGTAAAAGTACCAGTATATTATGAGGATATAAAATTTATATTATGCTAAAAATAAATTAGTAATAATTTTTTACAATAATAATTTATAAAAGTTAGATTATAAGATAACATTCAAAATTATTAACTAACATTATTTTCAGTTATAGCCAAATAATTAACTAATTTTATAAATAATTTTTTTTAAATATATAAAAATTACACTAAAATTTAGTTATTTATTTCTGTAACTAGTTAAGCAAGATAAATTTATATATTAATATATTTATAATAAAAAACAAAACAAAAAGCATATCTATATTATACAAACATCCGTTTGTCTTTTAGTGCAATTTCCTATTGTATTATAGTTTTATTTTATTTTTTGCTTAATTAATAGCTAAAATGCAACATTTATATTAAATTTTATTTATAACTCTCTCTCTCTCTCTCTCTCTCTCTCTCTCTCTCTCTCTCTCTCTCTCTCTCTCTCTCTATTTTGAATCATAGTATTTTCTATATATCATATAATATTATATTTTATCAAACATTATAGTTATAATTATTTAGTTTATTTCCACAAAAAAATTATTATTTTATTTTACTGCCGTCTGTTAACAATAATTAATAATAACATTAATGTTATTTTTTATAAATTTAACTAGCTTATTTATATAATTATTGGTATTTTACATATTTAAAATATTAATATTAACTGAGTGTTAAAATAATTAAATACTATTTTCATTTTTTTATAGACAGGAAAACTGTGATTTTAAAAATTAATTTAATTGTTTTCTTAAAAAATGTTTTAAATATTTTAGTCATAATAATTTTATAAAAATGTGCTGAATTTAAATATTTTTATTTTGAGAGTATAATTTTTTTAATAACAAAATAAAAACAAAATAATTTTAATTGCAACAATTATTGTATATAATTTTATTTAATTAACTAGATAATTTAGATATAATAGTTTATTTTTTTAAAATATGAAAACTATATCATAATTAGCCAACAATATAAATATATTAATGTTTAATATATTATACAGTATTGTTATTAATATCAACAGCTTTTTTTGTTGGCAAACAAACTTAAAATTATATTATATTATTAGTTATTTTTTTAGATTTTAAACTATGATATTACTATATATTATAATATATCACTTTCGCACCAAAAATAAAACAAATTTTTTTAGCTTTTATTTTTGGAAACATTATATATTGAATGATAATCTTTCATATTATATTTATATTTAGTTTTACTACTACTAATAATAATAATGTTAAGTTGATAACACATATGCATGTGTTAAATGATTTACTATAAATAATTGGTTATTTGATAACCATTTAATTATAATTATTTTGCAGATTTTTGCAATATATTAATAAATTATATGACATTGAATCATATTTTAATATATATATATAACTATTAATAATTATTAATACTAAACAATATTTTGTATGATTAAAAATTAACTAAAAATATACATTAATTTACATAATTGTATATATATATTCAGTGGTAATTGTAATAGTTTCAAGTATATTATATTTAAACATTTAAACTAAATAATAATTATAAAAAAATAATCTCATATGTTTCATATCTATTTGAAATACATATTGAAAAAAATATTAGCAAATATTTTGGCTCAAATATATAAATTTTATATATTCAGTATATACTGTATATAATGATATCACTGGATAGACACCAAAAAATACTTTTGTAAAAAAACAAACTAATAATTACAGATAATTCTTGAAATATTTGCCGTAAAAACTATTTTTGCACATTTAGAGAGAGAGAGAGAGAGAGAGAGAGAGAGAGAGAGAGAGAGAGAGAGAGAGCTATATGTATACACTTGTTTAGGCACCCAATTGTATGGGTATAGGGAGATGAAAAACATACTAAGCTTTAGATGTACGTGTTGTGTGTGAGTGTGTGGGCGGGAGGTTGACAAGGGATGGGGATTAATTTTTTTAGCTAAAAAATCGACAACAACAACAAAAAACAATTACTGGGAGTACTTATACATCATCATCATTATTTAGGCGATATATTTTTATTTGAGGGTATCATTGAATATACAGTATATACACTATAGTGTATCATAACTATTACAGCATCCAATGCCAATAATATATACTGTATATACTTTTGGTTGTTATATAGTATATACTATATGATTACAGTATTATAATATGTTTGCTAAACGTTAGATTTATTGCATATATAATATTGTGTAGACCTTCATCAATATATATATATATATCAGTATATATTTGGATAATATGGAAAAAGTTAGTGATTAGAGTTAGTGATTAAGAGAGAGAGAGAGAGAGAGAGAGAGAGAGAGAGAGAGAGAGAGAGAGAGAGAGAGAGAGAGAGAGCAAAAAGGAAAGGTATATTTTTGGCACAGTTGGCAAGTAATACATATACTATACTAAAAGCTGGTATAACTCAATAACTACTAGATTTATTAATGACATTTCGCGAGAGAGCGCCCAGTATTTCAGTACATATACCGTACTTTACTTATAGTTAGTTATTATAAATCGGGTGATGCCTATTGGTATGCATAACCATATATGTTCATCCAGGGCCGGGCCGGGTGCACACACACACACACACAGATACATACATGCACACTCACACACACACACACACACACACACACACACACATACATGCACACTCACACACACACACACACACACACACACACACACATACATACATACATACATACATACAACGGGACCAGTAGTTTATGTTGTTGTCTATGTCGTAGTCGAAGTGTGTCGTGTGCACAGCCTAAAGAAAAAGGCTAAACTGTTAAGAACGGGACTGTCATATATTCAGAGGCGCACCGGGAGTTTAGTTGGTTAAGTTGGAAACTATTGGAAATAATAATAATCACAAGTGATCTATTAGTGGTAACACTGGTAGTGTTTTTATAAACATCTGTGTATAGTATAACCATCATCAAACCAACCCAACCAACAATGTCCAACATTTGTCTAAAGTGTAACCGAGCTGTCTATGCGGCCGAGGAGATGCTGGCCGGTGGTCTCAAATGGCATAAGGTATGCTTCAAGTGCAACCTGTGCAACAAACGCCTGGACTCGGTCAACGTCAACGCTCACGATCAGGCACTATACTGTAAACAGTGTTACGCCCGCAAGTTTGGACCCAAAGGTTACGGTTTTGGTGGCGGTGCCGGAGCCCTGAGCATGGATATGGGCGAACATCTCGGTAACAGGGCCTGCGAAATGGACAACAAACCTAAGGGTGTTAATGCTTAAAAAAACAAACAAACTGTCGGGTTGTCCTGTTGCTGCCCATACAGCTTTTAACCCGATGCACATACATACAACTAAGCAGCCCCTTATCTATCTATCTATCTATCTATCTATTTATTATTATTATATCTAATTATTAATTAATTATAATTATAATTATTAAAATAATTATGTTTTTAAAAACAAAATGTTATATAAAACTATTATGTTTAACACACATACACCTACACACACACACACACATACATATATACAAACACATTTACACACTCAATATGTATACAATACGCATACAAACCAATAAAAAATACATTTATAATTTAAAAATAATTAATTATAATTTTAATTTAATTTTAATTTGAAATTATTATAATAATTAATTGTTTTTTTTTGTTTTTATTATTTTTGTTGTGAAATTTTCATCAAACAAACTAAAAAAATGTTATCTATTTATTTCTAATGAGTTATAATGATGATGATGAGTTTTGTTTTATTAAATTATTAATTAATATGATTATTATTATTATTATGTTTTACCATGTTAATTTATTATTCTTATAACGATAATTATTAAATAATATAAAATAAATAAATAAATTATTGTAATCTCTTATTTAATTTATTATAAATTTATTTTTGAAAATTTTGATTATATTTATGATGATAAATCCAAAAAATTGATAAATTGACAATTATATATATATATGTATTATAATTGAATTAATTTTATTATTGTAATTTTTTTGTTGTTTTGCCCACAAATTAAAATAAATTTTAAAAATTCAAATTACTTACTAAATAAAAAAAAAGTTTAATAATTTTATCAAATTATTATTATTAAGCAAATTATAGAATTTTAATAAATTTAAACTATATTATAAGTACAGATAAGTTATTAATATTTTAGTATATAATAAATATATTAAAAATATTTAGATTTAAATCTTAAAATATTGTGATTTTTTTGAAAAATGGATACAATATTTTTTTTGATGTAAATAATTTTTATTTATTTATATTTATGAAAAATATATTACAAACTATAAACTGTTAAGACATAATAAATTATTATGAGTTAAAAATATTAGATTATTTTTTTGTATTTCAATTAAAAAAGTTGAAAACTAAGTTAGACTAACTAAGCTAACTAAGTTCACCAGGACAGTTTTAACATTTTTAAACTTTTTATATTTTAATATAATAAGTTCATATGAGTATAATTTTATGTTAATATTTTTTAAAAATACATTTGACAAATTAAAATCTAAAATAAATTTTTAAATTATAGAATTTAAAAAAAAATAATTATTAGTTATATTAAATTAAAATATTTTTTTTTATCTAATTTAAGCTATATTTTACATTTCGTAGTTTTGTGTTATTTATATAAAAGTTTTTTTTTATTGATTTATACATTATTATCTATTTTACTATAGTATAGATGGCATATTGTTACTCGCATTTTAAAATAAATATTTTGTTTTATTTTTTGTTATATTAAAACTTACAATAATTTTGTAATAGTTTTTCATAATTTTTTTAAATATAATATAATTTAATAATTAGCATAGTCATTGTAATAATTAATTTCAATTAAAAAAATAAGTTTTAATTTAAAACATATACTATGCAATATTTTAAATAATATATTATATCTAATATGCTAACAAAATTTATTAAATTATTTTATTAAACTTTTTTAAATAGTGCAATGTTTTGAATAAATTAATTAAAATTTTAATTTTCATTATTTGATTATATATGTATATTAAGATTAGATTATTTAGAGATAACTAAATGATATATTTTATTAATATAGCAAAATGGAAAATTTATAAAAATAAAATAAGAAACAAAAAAAAACTAATAATTTCTAATTAACTAAAATTATATATATATATGAGTTATGCAAAAATAAAACATCTACTTAGTATAGATAATAATTTATTAGTTTATATATATTGTTTTACATATAAAAATCTTATAATATACTGTATATTATTATGTAATATATAAAAAAGACAGCATAAAAATAAAATGTACAATAATTAGCAATTAAAGACATTAATTATAATTATTGTTAACCCAGATTCACGTTTATGTGTATAACAATACAACCAAAAAAAATCACATGTATTATTATAAAGTTATATAATTATTATTATTATTATTATTATATATATAATGCTATATAATGCAATACCTAAGCTCAAAGTTATATACTGTATATCTTTATATGTACTGTATATTAAATACTAGCTTTTATATGTATACTGTACTAAATATATACAGTATGTACAGTATAAAAGCTAACTGTGCAACAATTGACGTCATATTGACGTCAAAAGATACCCAGTTTTTATTTCATCGACTATTTTATTTAATACCTTTATATAATAATAATAATAATAATATATATATACAATTTATATATAATTTTTTCTAAAAGTGTGTCAAACTGTAAAATTGTATTATTTTGGGTAATACTGTATAATTGCATAAAGTAGCTAGATAAATTATTTTGTTTATATATAAATTTATATACTTTTATTTAGCAAAATCAATATTTTTCATATAGTTATTGTATTTTGAAAAGTTTTATTGTAGTTAATGATTCATTTATAGTATTAATGTTTGTATCTATTTATTATTATATATAAATATATATTTAAAAAATTTAATTAATTCTCTAATATTAATATAATTTTTTACTTTTGTAATTACATAATATAATGTTCAATAATTAATACAATTTTTATATTTAATCTAATTTATATAATATACAATACAAGTATACAATATAATGTCTAACATGATAATAATAATTATTAATATTAATAAAATTTTATGCAAATTTTTCTAAATGCATAAATTGTATTTAAATTCAATTAGTTTATAGTATTGTAGTTTATATTTTTTCTAAAAAAAACGGCATAACTTTTTTTTATTTTATTTTAGTTATTACATAAAAGACTTTGTGTTTGTCTAATATATTATATTAATATTACTATTATTATAGATAATAATAATAATGCAAAAATTCACGTTTATTTCGACAAAATTATTTTTTTACATTTAAACTTCTATTCAATCTATTTTAGTAAATAAATTCTATTTTTATTTACAGTACACTACAAATAATTTATATATCTATTAATATATATATACATTATATATGCATACATATACACTACAACTAAACGCATATCAATTATATATATATATATATATGTATTAACGTATAGAGAAAAAACACAATGAATTATAGAGAATATTATTATTAGTAGTAGTATTATTATTATATATAGTATATGTAAGGTATGTATAGAATGTGTAGTAGTATTATGTTTCTAAAAATTGCAATTTGACCCAAAAAATTGTATGTTTCAGTGTTTATAAGTATATATATATAAAGTACAGTATGCACACAGTAGTAGATAAACTGTATATACTGTATATTATATATGAGCAAAAATGATAGTCAACTTCACTATAATAACTATCAGGAAGAGAATTGTTAGCGTGAATTGTGTAGTGCTCTCTCTCTCTTTCTCTCTCTCTCTCTCTCTCTCTCTCTCTCTCTCTCTCTCTCTACCAATGAGATGGACGGTTAGATATTTACAGTACAGCATAAAAATGAATGAAAGTGCTATTTATAGAATCAACGATTCTATTTATATATATATAAGTTATATATATATACTTTATATGAGAATTGTATAATATATACGTATATATACACTATAATAACGAGTAAAGATTATACACATACACACAGAATATTCTTGTATTTCTATACATTACTATTGACGTACTGTATGACCGGTGTATGCGCTCCTGGATTTGGGTCACACATTCAGACGTACACACCATTCATGTGCATTCAACATACAGATTAGATTATGGTTTACTATTGCATATACATAGACACATACATACATACATAGTATTACATGTATACAGATATACAATACAGTATATACGGTATATAATGTATATGTGAATACTGTTTGTATAAATCTATTAAATTTATGTTTATTTTGTTTCTGAATGAATAAAAAACAATGCAATAAAATAATGTATTGAATATATAGTACAGTATATATATTGTTTATAACTGTATATATTGTATACAGTATATATAATTTATATTTAATATTTGCATAAAGATTTATTTATGTGTTTTTTATTTGCAACTCAAATGTAATTCAGTTAATATTATTTTTATTTACATGTATATTCAGTATATTTAGTGTGCATTATCTAAATTATATTATAATTTAATATATAAATATATGAATATTTATACTGAATTTTTTTTAAAAAAATACAATATTTTTCTAATATACAAATAGAAAATTTATGTTTAATAATATAAATAATAGGAAAAACAAACTAATCGATTGCTATTAAATATATGCAATTGTTTTTTGTTGACATTGTTTTTAAATAATATTTTAAGTTATAGAAAATATAATGAATATAAAAATTTATATTGTTTATTTTTTTAGTAATATTCTAAAATGCTAAAATTATTTATTTAAACAATCACATCAATTATATATATATATATAAATATTTTTAAATTTTTAAATACTATATATTTAAAACAATTTAATAAATATTTATTTATCAGTTTTATTATATATATATATATATCTATAATAAATTGTGGAGAAAAAAGATTTTTCTAAGTATCGATTGGACTGACATTTCATTGACCTGAGAGTGAATCTTGAGAGTGAGTGAGTGATTACGAGTGAGTGAGTGAGTGAGTGAGTGAGAGAGAGAGAGAGAGAGAGAGATGCTTTTATAGCATCTTTATGTTGCTTATCTTACGTCATACACTGTGCAATATTTGAGTGTGCATTAACTATTTACTTATAGCACACATAAAACACACACACACACACACACACACACACACACACACACACACACATACATACATACATACATACATACATACATACATACATACATACATACATACATACATACATATACACACACACACTTATAAACTCACATACATATATATATACACACACACACTACGTACTTACATACATATAGTGAGAGGGAGACAAACATACATAGAGATACATATAAAGAATATTCTGTAATATTGTACAGTATATGCTCTCTCCTAACAAAACTGACTGACTGTGCATTATTTTCGGGCAGAAAATTAGGTCAAACAACTCTCTCTCTCTCTCTCTCTCTCTCTCTCTCTCTCTCTCTCTCTCTCTCTCTCTCTCTCTCTCTCTCTCTGAATTAAACATTGTGTATATAGAAAATAAATTGTTGACATTTTATAACAACAATTATATCTATGATTTTTCAA